AGGACAAAATCATGGTAGGCCACAAAACAGGTTATAATAATACTGAATCCTTAAAAAGCAACTCTCCGTGATGGATATAATCATTATGTACCCTAAAATGTAGTAATACAAATCTAAAAATTCAAAAGACTAAAATCATGTACACTTCCTTTTCTGATCACAATGGAATGAATAGAACTAGGCAACAAAAGCATAAGGAAAACCAAAACATAGACACATGGAAATTGAACAACACAGCCTTAAACAGCCAAAAGCTAATGAAAAGAAAATGACAAGGAGAAATAGAAAATATCTTGAAATAAGTGAAAACAGAAACACTACATACCAAAACTTATGGGATGTAAGTAAAAGCAGTGGTCACAGGGAAACTTATAACTATGAACACCTACATTAAAAAACAAAAGTCTCAAACCATCTAACTTTATACCTTAAAGGGCTAGAAAAGAAGAGTGTATTAAACACAAAAGGTAGAAGAAATAAGTTAATATACAGTAAAGATAAATAAAACAGAATAGGCAAATGACAGAAAAATCAATCCTTTGGAAAGATCAGCCAAATTAACAAGTTTTTTTTTTTTTTTTGCAGTACCGGGGATTGAACTCAGGACCCTGCACTTGCCAGGCAAGCGCTTATTGTACTGAGCTATCTCCTTGGCCCTGAATTAACAAACTTTTGACTGGACTAAAAAACTGAGAAAATACTAAATTATTAAAATCAGAAATATAAGTGAGGGCCAGTGAGATAGCTTAGTGGTTTAAAGCACCTGCTTAGGCAAACTTAGGCAGGCACAGGGGACAGTGGTTCAATCCCCGGTACCCTATGTTGTGCCAACCCCACCCTCAGGGTGGGCTGATCTGGTCAAATGAATAACTAACTAACTAAATAAATAAATACATAAAATCATGCCATAATTTGAAGACTTAATAAAACATAAAAGTAAGTACATTACTTCTGATTTTATAGAAACAAGGGCCATAAGAATATGAAAGACTATATGCCCAAAAATGAATAATGTACATAAAACACCTTTGTAGAAATATATAATTTATCAAAAATTAATAATGAAAAAACAAAAAATCTAAACAGACTTCTACCAAAGCAGTTATCAAAAATCACCTAGTAAGAACAACTTGGGCTAGATGTACAGACTTTGCCAGTGAATTCTTACCAGACACTTAAAGACAAAGGACATCCCCCCCAAAACTCTTCCAGTATATTGAAGTGGAGGTCAATGTTTCTAACTCATTCGTTGAGGTGAACACTGCCCTTCAAGCAAAACAAGACAAAGACATGACCAGAGGAGAAAATACAGCCACATGTAGTGGCACATGTCTGGAGTCCCAGCACTCAGGAGACTGAGGCAGGAGGATTTCCAAAAGTTTGAGGTCCCCTTGGGCTGCAGAGAGTTCAAGACCAGCATGAACTACACCGGGAGATCTTGCCTCAGAGAAAGAAGGAAAGAACCCATGATTATCTAAATTAGTACAGAAAAATTAAAAAACTTTAAAAGTTATTACTCAATAAAGTAGGAACAGAAGAAAATATTCTTAATATGATAAAGTCTGTATGTTAAAAAACTTCAGTTAACTTTTTTACCTACAATCTAGAAGAGGATAAATGCATCTGCTTTCCTTACTAGCTGTAACTGTAAATAGCAGTCTGTGTAATTAGGCAAGAAAAATAAAAGGCATTCAAATTGGAGTGGAAAAGTAAAATTATACTTAATTATATTTATACAATAAAACAAATTTAACAAAGTTGTAGGATAAGAACAATACAAAAATTATTTGCATTTCTATACATTCAACCGACAATTCAAAAAAGAAAAAAATATCAATCCCATCTATAGTAACAGAAAATGAATATAATATTTAGGAATAAACTCAATACTTAATAAACTTAATGGAGGCAAAAGATTTACAATCTGTAAAATGTTGTTGAAAGAAACTAAGACATAAATTAAAAGGTATTGCATTTGTTTTTAAATGTAAGTTTCATTCTTATTAAGGATCATGAAACCAACAGATGAGATAATGATCGCCACTGAAAAGACTGTCATTAAAAGTTATTCGTGGGGGCCGGGGAGATGGCTCAGTGGAGTAAGCGCTTCCCTGGCAAGTGCAAGGGCCTGAGTTCAATCCCCGGTTCCGCAAAAAAAAAAAAAAAAAAGTTATTCGTGGGGAAGGTCTAAGTACCACACAGAGGCCACGGGAGAATATCAGGGTCAGCTATAGGAAGGGGAAGGAGAGAGAAAGGGGGCAAGCACTTCCTCATGGTTTCTACAGGGACGGCACGGAAAGGAGTGCAGATGAGCAACGGATCTTACAGAAATACAAAGGACCACAACAGATTACAATGGATAATAAGCCAAAAAGCTGTTGGATAAATGAATAATTTCCCAGACATAGTCAACTTACTAAGATTGTATCGGGGAAAAAAAAAGACAAGATGAATACATCAATAATAAAGAGATTAAATCAGTAATAAAAACCTCTCAAAAAAAATATCTCATCAAAGAAAAGCCAAGGATCTGGTAGTAGCTTCACTAATGAATTCCTCCAAACATGTAAAATACTACTACCTAACCACACCTCTTAAACAACAACAAAAAATTACAGCAGAAAGAATAATTAAGAACCATTCTACAAGGCCTATATTACAGCATCAAATCCAGACAAAGACAACATAAGAAAAGAGAATTACAGGTTAATAATGGGGAAATGTTAGTCTCTGTGGTATGTGGCTCTGGGCAAATTGGCTATCCAGTTGCATAAGAATAAAACAGGAGTCGTATCTCATATCTCACACATTATATACAAGTGTCAACTCAAATGTCTACTCATGTTTTTTGTCCATTTTTAAAATCTGGATTGTTTCCTTACTCTTGAGCTATGTATTTTGGATTTCAATTCCTTATCAGACGTACAGATTGCAATAGTTTTCCCTACTGCATAGGTTATTTTTTTAAAGATTTATTTACTTGATAAAGGGCTTGCTATGCAGCTCAGACTCAGTGACCCTCCTTTCTCAGCCTCCCCAGTACTGGCATTACAGGCATGCCCCACCACACCCAGTTTCAGTGGTAGACACACCATGTAGTACTGGGGATAAAACCTGGGTCCTTGCACTTACCAAGCAGGTGCTTAGACTGCTGAGCTATCTCTCCAGTCCTTTTTACTCTATTAATTGCCTCCTTTTCTGTACAGGATATTCTTAGTTGGCTCAATTGTCTATTGTTGGTTTGGTTGCATGAGACTTTAGGGTTAGCTCAAAACACTGACCACCCATGCCAATGTTGCGTAGTTTCCTCCAACTTTTTCTTCTAACAGTTGTATAATTTTGCGCATCACATTTGAATCTGTAATTCAGTCCATATCTGTGATCTCTCGGCTACAACAGTGGCTATAGTTCATTTAAAGTGCATTTTGAGTATACGGTGCACCTATGTCATTTGGGTTGTTTCAGGTTTAGATATTATTACTAATAATAGTTTTATTAGTTTAACAGTTTTATGCAAATCTTTTTTGCTGAATACCAGGTTATGCATATCTACCATTAATAGCTAGTGCTAAAGTTTTTCCAATAAAATTGTACAGATTTTCATATGCAATGCATGAAAATAGTTTGCTCCATATCTTCACAAATAGTTGGCAGTCTTGGCTGATTTTAGCATGTCTGCTGAGTACATAACAGTGTCTTATTGTACACATTTCTCAGTTGCCAATTTGTTTATGCTGGAAACTACATTTCCTAGACAATTCTTGCCTGATTTATAGAGTAGTGCTGCCACTGACAAAGGAAATCATGAAAAGGACATTATTAATGATTACCAAGAGGAGATAAAATGGAGAAATGAGTGGTATTGATGCTATAGCTCAAGTTATTTGTTTTGGAGATTGAAGTCAGGACCTCCCACATGGAAGGTAAATGATCTAGTACTAAGCTACATTCCCAATCACTTTTACTTTTATTTTGAGACAGGTCTTCTCTAAGTTGCTCAAGATGGTTTCAAACCAATCCTCTGCCCTTTAGCCTCCTAAGCAGGTGGAACTGCAAGCATGTCCCACCCTGTTTAGTTCACAGTTTATATTTTATGGTTCATAGTTATTGGTTATTGTCTCTAAACATTCTACATGTTACTCATTAATACCTTACAACAGGAGGTATGAGTGATTTGGAAAAGAAAAAAATTGCAGATAACATCTCAATATCACAATAGCTCTGAAAGTTAGGTATTATTAAGTCTGAAAGTTAGGTAACAAGTATTATAAATAGCTAAAAAACTTATAAGATATTCTTATAATAGAGTCAGGTATAGTGGTACACAACTGTAATTCCAGCACTTGTGAAGCTGAGGGAGGAAGTTCACTCTGAGCTGAAGGCCAGCTTGGGTTATGAGTGAGTTCAAGGTCAACCTGAACTACTTAACAAGACTCTGTCTCAAAAGATTCAAACCTGTGGTTTACCAGAGTCCCTGAAACACAACAGGTAAACAAATTAATAATTATTGAATCATTGATTAAATGGGTGACGACTGGCTTTTGAACTATAAAGTTTCTTAACTAACATATTATGCTCTGGATCAAGACTGTAAGAGATAATGTAGAAAAAAATCAGAGATCAGAAATTCATTTTTAAAAATGAGACAATCAGAGAATCTTGGAATTGTACTGTACTTAAACTTATTTAGACAGAATTCTAAGAGACCAGTTGATCATTTCTTTATTTCAGAGAGATTTTAGGACACCTTGGTATTTAAATCCTATCTAATAATCTTTGAAGCAGTCTTTTTTACAACTAGATTAAAAATATCAGGATTTTCAGTAAAATAGATTGTAGAGAATTGCCAACAGATATAAGTTCTCAGTACTTGATTGCTATTGAAACATACTATTCATCAGATTTGGTGCACAGAAACAACGTAATCCCCCATATAAATTTCCTCATGGTCTTAACATTTTCTATGGAAGCTCTATATACTATAAGAAAAGCAGGGTTACCTTTAATTGGTTTTCCTTTTCCCATACAATGGACTGAACTAAGGTAAGATGATTAATAGAAAAGATAAATGCAACTACTATAGGGATGAAAATAATAGCAATTATATAGAACACATCAATATCTTGTACTGGGTATGGAAATCTCTGAACAAAAATGTTGACACTATTAAACAGTGTTTCTGCAGCAGCGCCACTATGGTACAGAATGATGGCCTTATCCAAGGCATGCTGCACAAGCAGGAATCCTTCACTGATGTACCCTACGTGAGAAAACACAAAGGTTGCTAAGAATAATGTCTAAAAATCGTTGACATGAGCAAAGAAAAGACAATGAAAGCCATGTTCCATATAATATTTCTGTCAACACTGATAAAATTGTATCACCTAAGGACACAGTCATCTCCACGTAAGTATACTCTATGATGCTTCCACTATGATAACAGAAAATGCCTAACACATTTCTAAAGCCTTATTCCCATGTTAAGCAACTCATGACTGTATTTTAGAAGCAGACTATATAAGTAATTGTAACAAGATTCTTCTCAGAGTCTAAGTTTCAGAACAGCTATCATAGTTTTGCAACACAAATATACAATGAGTCTATCATCTGCAAATAAAGAAAACTTTACTCCCTCCTTTTCAAATGTTACAACTTTTCTGTGTCTTCCAGTAAGTTGCTGACCTCAAACTTTCAGTGACACTGTTGGTTCAGTGCCCCCACCCCAAAATAAACAAACAAAAAGGAAATGTATCTATTTTTTGATGTATATATACATGTATTTCTTGATATTAGTTTAAATATATATATATATATATATCTTTTTTGTTTGTTTTGGAAAAACATTAATCTTACAGAAAAATTCAAAAGGTAGTACAGAAACTAGTTGGATATCATGCATTTCAAAAGCAATTTATATTACTCCAAAGAAACCATAAGTATAAAAAAGACCTATACTATATCTATGATATTAGTATTTCACAAGAGGGAGGGATTAGGTGGAAAAAGTCTAAGACTTTTAGCAGGGCAAAAATGAATAAAGCCTGAGAAATATTCAATATGCCCCTCCATCAAGCTTTTATCCTACGTATTAACAATGTAATTTAAAAAAAAATGAAATTAAAAATACATAAGGGGCTGGAGAGATAGCTCAGTAGAATAAGTGCTTGTCTGGCAAGCTCAAGGTCCTGAGTTCAATCCCTGGTACTGAAAATAAATAAACAAAAAACACACAATGTAATTTCAAAACTAAGAAACACAGGTGCAATACTACCCGTGATTTGCATAAATTTATTTGTATTTTATCAGTGTTTCACCTAATATCCCTCTTTGTTTCAGGATCTCATCTACGATGTGAAACTGCATTTAGTTGTCACGCCTCCAGTCTTTTCTGATCTTTGAAAGTATTGTATTCTTTCCTTGTTTTTCACCATCTAGAGAGGTGCATCCTGGATAATGTTCCATAGTCTGCATTCGCTTGCTATTTTCTCACTAACAGATTAGGGCTATGAGCTTACCACAGAGGTAGAGACCCTTTTCATCCACTTATACCAAAGGACATGTGTATCAATATGACACCACGGTGATGTCTACTTCTATCATTTAGTTAAGGTGGTATATGTGCCACCTCTTGTTAAGTTGCTGTCTTCTCCTTTCCCTTTTCTACTCTTTGCAAAGAAGTTATTAAATACATTCATATTCAAGAAAAGGGAGTATCTACATGTTATCTGGAATTCATTTGCACCTAGTATTTATGTGTTCCTATTTATTCAATCATCTTGTTTGCATTTATTGGAATCATTAAAATTTATGCTATACTTAGGGTTAGAATCAATTACCCTTTTGGGCCTTTCAATGCTGCATTTCTTCTAGCTTTGGCCATTGGTGGTGGTTTTTTTTTTTTTTTTTTGGCGGAACCGGGGATTGAACTCAGACCCTTGTGCTTGCCAGGGAAGCCATCTCCCCGGCCCCAAGCTTTGGCCATTGGGAAGGAACTCTTTCAGGTTTACTCCTGTGTTGGTCTGAAAAAATTCAGTCCCCATTATCATGTCTTTTTTAAATATAAAAAGCATATCCTTTGCAGAACCCTAAAATGCTCCAGGATCATCTCGTACTGTCCCTACTCCAACCCAAAATCAGTCACGTCTCTTCAGAATCCTGGTTTGCTCTTTTGGAGAATGGTTTTGAGAAACCAAGACCTGATACTGAGTTGCTATGGCGTCACCACTCAAAGGCCTCCTGGTGGAGCCAAGTAATATACTGAATATTTTACAATACATGTAACCTATTGTTATGGTTTGTGTCTAGAGGCTCCTTAAAGCCTCATGTGATCATGGGACTTAGGACTTTTTTAGAGGCTGAATCTAGAGTGTAACTGATTTGAAGGGTGCTATGATTAAGGGAGGGTGATTGATTGGGCTTGCACTACCCTAATTCTGGTAGACTGGATACAATAAAAGGCAGAGAAAGGGGTTTCTTGCTTGTTGTTTTTGCTGTTTTCTGCTGACACTTTGTTGCCTCCTTGCCATGTGCCAGCTTTCCTTGGACCCACCCGATTATGGGCTGAAACCTCTACAAACTGTGAGCTAAGTAAATGTTTCCCCTTTAACTTTGGGTGTCAGGTATTTTTGTCTCAGCAAAGAGAAAAGTCACACACACACACACACACACACACACACACACACACATTCTGTATCATTTTTTATAAAATAAAGTTCAGTTCATACTGACTTTTCCAAGTCAGAACCATAGTGATGGAGAACAGTAGAATTTAAAATTAATCAATATGATTTCTATGTTTACTTGTGAGTCTGTCCCAGGCCTAGGCCCCTTGTCTGGAGATGGGCAATGGATTTATAGTAAGTGAACCTCTAGGAGTTGCTTGTCTGAGCTGAGGCCTATAGTGGTCTGTGATGCTGTGAAGCTTCATGGGACAAGATAAGGCTACAGCTGAGAACACCTTGCTCCAAAATCAACTAAGAGAATGTAGCTGCAGGCAACACTCTCTGGCAATAAATGTCAACCTAGAGATAAGGTAGTTCTCCTGATTTACCTAATTTACTACTTGGAAAAATATCTGAACTGACTTTTGAGGTCCTGCTCAGATTCTTATACTTTCTTCAGAATTCCCCACCTGTTTGAAAGCCAAATAAACATGGGCCACCCAGAGTTCTCTGTCTCAGACCACAGATAATCTTGAATTCTGCTAGAGGAATTCTTTTGGAGCTCTAAAATCATACCACATGTCTCTTTCAGTTAAACCTTGGCCATTCACTTTTTTTAGGATGCTGTGGGCCTGATTCCAATCTTGACACCACACAGTTCATATTTTAACCTTTACTATTTGTTCATTTGTGAATTCTTTTTATGACACTGAGAAAATCCTAAACTATCTCTAATAAAGAAGTTAACCAACAAGAGTATAGTATTTATACATTTTTGTCTTTAGTCTTATAATATTCATTCAAAATAGTTCTCCAACATTACTTAGGTCAGCTTCACATATCCCTACTACATTTAGTGAAGTGTATGGATTACTTTGTCATGGTCTGCGCTCTATGCTCACTCTTAGATATCCTGGTCTGTTATTTATTTTAAATTTGAATACAGTAGTTCACTAAAGAGTTTTGAATAATGTGCAGTGTCATGGATGCACCATTTTAGTCCCACAGAGAATAGCGCCTCTACTGCCAGTTCTTCAATGTTGTCTCTGTATAATCAATCCCTTCTCTATTGGCTCTGTCAGCCACTGAATTGTTTTCAGTTCCAGTAGTTTTGTTTTTTAAAAATGCCATATAGATGAAGGCATATATAAATATCTATGTAAGTGTGACTTCTTCAGGGTATATTCATGTTTTTTTTTTTAAGCAGGGAAAAAATATATATATGTAGAATTAGCCAGCTGGACTCAGTTTAGATGATCTCAATTTTGTTGGCAACACCCAATGCATCATAATGGGGAGCCAGTTGAACATATGCCTTCTTCTCTCCATCAGGCCTGATTAGGGTATTGACCTTGGCAACATCAATGTCACACAGCTTCTTTACAGCTTGTTTCATTTGGTGTTTCTTTGCTTTGACACCCATAATGAACATGAGTGTGTTGTCCTCGATCTTTTTCATGGCTGACTCATGTCAGGGGAAACTTGAGGATGGCATAGTGGTCTCCTGGGGGCGCTCTTCTGAGGGTATTTGGGCTGCCTCTGGAGCTGCAGTGTCTTGGGACGGTAGAAGGTAGGTGACATTCATATCTTCTTTTTGGGTCTGTGGATGCCTTTCAGCACGGCCTTCTTGGTCTTTAAAGCTTTTGCTTTGGCTTCAGCTTTGGGAGGGGCAGGGGTTTCCTTCTTTGCCTTCAGCGCCATCTTGGCAAAAAGGCCTTATTCATGTTGTTGCATGAATCAATAGCTTAGTCCTTATTACACTGGGGTATCATCACATGGTGCAGACAAATCAAAGTTTGTTTACCCACTAAAATGCTATGGAGGAAAACTTAGTTGCTTTCATCTTTTGGTAACTATGAATAGGTATCAGTACATATTCAGGTTTTCATTTGAACAGATGTTTTCAATCCACTCAGGCAAATACCTAGAAATGATAATGTTGGGTTCCATTGTTATAGTTACAGAAGTTCTTATTTGGATGTATTTCATATTTCCATGTTATATAGAATTGTTTTAATAAAATTGCATGTATAATTATGATATATAATGTATACATTATGCATATTGTTGATATATAAAGCACCCATGCATATATGTGTGTATATATATCAGCATTCTCTGGGGTTTAATTGAACACATTTAAAATTGAGTTTTTGTTATATTATGTATTTTAGGGAAGGGTCTACAGGGTGTTCAGGATCTACTAGATAGGATTCATAGTGATCCACTTGTTTACAGCCTCCAAAGAGCTGGCATTACAGGCATGTGCCACCAGGCCCAGTCTCAATTGCCATCTCAGCACACCTTGGGCACAGGGCCAGCACTGCAGGCCTTGGGATGGAACCCCTGGCCCCTGTGCCTGCTTGCAGGCACTTTAATCCACTGAGCTACTTGGCTGGCCCATTGTACTATTATTTATGCATCTGTTTCAAAACTTTCTTGAGGGCTACCTTAAGAAATACATTCTTTTAAAACAGTATCTCATTCTAGGGAAGCGCTTGTTCCACTGAGCCATCTCCCCGGCCCCCTAATATCTCATTCTATCATTTAAAAAATTTTTATATTACGCATGTCCACAACACACTAGAACTTTGTGCGA